TGCGTGTCGTTAAAAAATGAGTTAAAAATTATTTAAACACTCGCAGCTAAGAAGGGAACACACATCACAAGACACGGTATACACAGAATATAAGAAAAACGACCCCCATAGTGGAAGAACCACACGCAAGTTTTAGTTATGAAACGTAAGATGAATAATCTTAACAAGTTTTAGTGTGTGTAAATTTATTATAGTTGACAAATACGCACTTTTTAAATACTTTTTAAATAATTTTATAAAGGCAAGCAATGAAATAGATTAGCGTAATTAGGGCACCTGATGATGGCACTATGTTGCCGAAACCTGTCGTGAAGTAACAGGTGAAATTGAGTGCACTACAAGACGGCCACTGTATACATATCATGGATGAAAATCAGTGCAACAGGACGCTAAATTACAACATTTTTGAATTAAGACTGAGATATTTATTGAAAATGATTTTCAATTAAACCATCTAAAGACAACCACTTGTATATCATGACGTTAAGCAAAAAAAAAAATCTTAGTTAATGCTAAGAATGGTCATGCGATTTGTTGGTACAATTGTATCTGTATGCGTGTTATACTTTCTGTTTCATTTATTCTTCTTTCCTTCTTTCCTTTCTTTCTACATCTTGCCTCCCCTGTCTTTTTTATTCTGCCTCTCCTTATTCTTCCTAGTTGCTTCTATTGATGTCTAAATTTCTTCCTCTCCAACACAATTTATGTCGATATGAATCAGATAATTAGTTCTGTACCATCAGTTAAAACATACATTTTACTTCTGACACAGAATTAAATAGTTTTAATTTCCGTGTTTCAGTAATACCAACTGGAATTCTGCACTCTCCATTCTACGGATTAGGACTAGAGTGAGTATTTATTTTTACAAATAATTCTGATGTTTTCAGTTTCAAAGAGGAACAGAATTAGTTTATAGGAACACACCAATGAGTTTCCTAGTATTTCTGCCTGTCGTGTTTTCTAACTACTGCTAGACCCCGTATATCCTTGTGTCGACAATAATTTCAGAGCACTGAAAACTGATTAATTAACATGAAAATAAAATAAAAACTACTTTCAACCTAAAATTAGATAATTTTCCGTTCACTGAAATGCTAACTCAGTTCCCTTATCTCTTAATATAGGGTTTTGAATTATGCAGCCATTGGCACTATCCTGGGCCATGAACTGATGCACAGTTTCGACAACAATGGTGAGTTTACAAGGTGCTAGCTCATGCCATTAAGAATTGGGGGTAGTTTAACGTGTGAGAACTCAAGTCAAACCACAAACCAAATACATTTCTGAAAGACCGTTTTTGTATGAAGTACACTAATATGTCATTGAAGGTAGCTACGTTATCGAAATCTGGGAGACACTGATACAGACATCCTGATATCCTTGAGTCCTCCAACTTCTTGTTAGTATGTTATATCTATTTTGTTAAAGTGAATGTATCCCTGTAACAGACCTTGGAAGCCCATAGGGTTGTGAGACGTCGAGGCTCCAACATTTTGTCTAGATAATCGGCTCACAGATGGCGGTAAGGTTGTCAGGCTTATGCGCCAGCCGTCCTTTACCCCCAGGAAGATTCCTGGTACTGATTTCTGTCAGAGGTTGAGTCGACCCCAGGGCCATAGTGCGGCAGGAAGGATTATGTAAATTGAAGAAATCCATCTTATTGAGATTCGACCACGCGACCTTCCGGCTTGTAGCATAGTGCCTCAACCAACTGCGCTATCGCGTGCTTCCACCTGTTTTACTATGTGAAGCCAAATTTGCTGCTGTATTTAATTACACGCCGCGCACTAAAATCTGTCAGCTAATGAGGGTACAGTTGTAATCATTTCTAAACTTTGCAGTGGATGGAGGTGAGTAGCCTCGGAGAGACCCTCCAGTACACATTCGATGCGAGGCTGGATGAGCCACAGAACCTTCTTGGATTCAACCCTCAATCGTTCAGCCAGTAGCTTAGGCCTTATACCGGCTGAACTGTCCCGGTTGTTCATATCTTAAGAGGACTTCGTACATTCATGTTTTCTGTAAAATTTAAACAATTTTCCATGCTAATTTGGTGTAATTCGCCCTTGCACATACAAACAGAAATATACGAGTATATATCATTTATGCAGGACGGTTGTACGACAAAGATGGACAGAAACGCAACTGGTGGAGTAATAGCACAATTAATGAGTTTGTCGCTCGAGAGCAGTGTTTCGTGGAGCAGTACAAGAACTACAATGTCGGAGGGAGATCTGTAAGCATATAGTTATTCATTTTCTGTGACAAGCTCTATTTCCACACATCTGAATTAGATCTAATAATCCACAACTCGAATTGTTGTAGACACAACAATTAATCTTCAGGTTCCATAAAGTGAAAGGAACGTCTTGATAAGTTAAGCGACTGCTAGTTTCTCAAGAACATCTCTACATCATTTAGTTTGTTAGTTAACTGCTCAGCCAGTCAGTTACAGTTGTTGATGAGTCAGTTACAGTGGCTGTTCGAGGACGATTTTTGTGGTGGGATCACGTTAGTCTGTAGCCCAGGCATGTCAATCTCAACTTGTACAGAGGGTCACCTCAGCCCTATAAATGATAGTCCAGGGCCGCACTTCGAAATAGAAATATACATTAGATTTTAATACAAGGAAATTTAATTCTATTTATTATTTAGGAGTAATTTCAATATAATTACCTAAAGTCACATATCTTACAGTTTTAAAAAGCAAGAGAATGCCATTTTTGACAAGTATCAAACAGATTTGCAATATGTAAAAAGAGAGATTATACAAGAAATTATGTTAGAAATAGCAAAATATTGAATTTCCTTCAGCCTGCTAATTTATGTCTGCATGAGACTTCTTGTCTTCTAGTCTGTTGGAAAATTGTCTTTACAAAAATATTTCTACAAAAATTTAATATTGATTTTAATATCAATTAGCTCTAAAAGTTGAGGGGCCGCATGTTTGACACGGCTGCTGTAGCCCATCCTCTATTGTGCACCCGTTATATACGTTGCGAAGTGTGACTAAATATATTTAATTAAAACAATTAATTACTAGTCATTAGCTAAATAACATCCGTACAAAGTTCAGTAGCCATTTAACGTATTTTGTATAAAGCAACAACAGTGCAGGGGGCCATAACTTAACTTACAAGTTACAAAGCAAGGCGAGTTTTCTAAAGGACTGGTTAAACAAGCTTTGTGCTTTATACCATTTAGAAGTGTAAGCGGTTACCAAATTATTATTTCTGAAACAAGCACCCATTTAAAATATTAAAATGGTAAAAGACATAAAACATTTTCCAGATTCCTAGTAAAAACAAAAACCAATTCGAACATTGCACATAGTGTCAAGGACAAGAATCGCTTCAGGAAAGATAATCCAGAATATACGTAGTGAATAACAGTTGCGGATTCATAAGGAAATAAAAAGATCAACAGAAATATTTGTTACTTTGTAAAATGAGAATTACTTCCCCAAATACCTTCAGTTTTTATATTCTTTATAAACTTCACAATCGGCCTTCACATAATTCTAGTTCCGAATATTTTTTTTGCGTTTCATTTTGGTTGTGAACTCTTCCTTCAGTTTCCTGGAGTTTCATTGACGCTTTTACAGGGAGGCATTCTTCTTCGAAGACGTGAGAGCGACTTTGGGCTTATTGTTAGGGCAACCATTCTTTGCACTATTCAGAGGAAAAGGCTTTCAGAATGACGTAGCTCTGAATGCTTTATTCTTAATCTAATTCACACCTCAAGGAATTAAATTAAAACAATAACAAAAAAAGGTAAAGTTGTCCCTGTGCTTAATTAAGTAAGCACTAAGCCATGAAGGTGTATGGGGAGTGGATACATAGATTCACATTTTGTTCACCTTGGCACTAGTTGGAGGTGAGTGGTCAGCTTCACGCCCCTGGCGCTTTACCTCCGGGGAAAAGCCCCAGGTAACCATTGAATAGGAGCCTGGGTGGACCCCCAGAGCCGGTCTTGACGGCATGGAGAAGAGAAAATTCTTGACCCTATTGGGACTCGATTTCCGAATCCTAGGTCGTCCAGCCCGTAGCCAGTCGCTATACCGACTACGCTATCCCGGCTCCTAAAACTATAAAAATGATACATTTTAATTGATTATAAAGAGGAAATACGCAGCTCTTTAGCACACAAAATTCAACAGCACATATTATCTCTGAACTAACCACAAACACCGAATCACAGATAACTACTGAACGCACTAACAGGTCTTGTGAACAAACCCATCTGTTTACGTAAGCAACTTGTACAGTTGTTCTACCAGTATTTTATAAAATCCTGCAGCTCATCATCCTTGTTCTGTAATAAATCTAAAAAGCACAAGCGCAGTTTAAAATTTTGTCTGGCCTGGCACAATAATGTACATAGTTCAAACAAGCAGGCAGGGGGTGGTGACGGAGAAGTTTATGTCACTTGGATTTGTGCAGAAGGAAAGTAAGAAATTGTCTCCAGCCACCATCCAAGGAACTCACACAATTCCACGTCGTAATGAATACAGACCTCACGCACACCACCACCTCTCTACACCATAGCAAGGTTCCGCACACAATCCAAGAAACCCCGGAATATTTACTGAAAAAGACTAAGTTCTAATTAATTTTAATACAATTCAACCGTAACTCTAACAACTTTCAGTCAAGTTTCAGAGAAATGGGCTAGAAAAAACAATATAATTCGGGAGTTAAATACAAGTTCCTACGTATGGGAATTTATGATAACTGATTAATTAATTAATTGATTAATTCTATGGAGTTGAGCCCATCTTGAGAAGCCGCTAGTCGTGCATGAAACTCGAAGGTTCATAACCGTGTTCACAAGAGGCTTTCACTTTTCCTTATCCTGAGCCAGTTCAATTCAATCCGTACCATCCCACTTTCTCTTCTAAGATCCATTTTAATATTATTCACCAACTTACGCCTTGGTCTTCCTAGTGGTTAATTTTCTTCTGGTTTTCCCATCCAAATACTATACGCATTCCTCTTCTCCACCCATTTGTGCTACATGCCCTGCCAACCTCATCCTCCTTGACTTCTTCATTCTAATTATTGGAAAAAGTAGAAGTTATGAAGCTCCTCATTGTGTAGTTTTCTCCAACCTCCTGTCACTTCATCTCTCTTTGGTTCAAATATTCTCCTCAACACCCTGTTCTTAATGTCAGAGACGAAGTTTCACTCTCATACAAAGCCACAGGCATAATCATTCTTTTCTATATTCCAATTTTTATGTTTTTAGACAGCAGACGAGAAGACGAAAGGCCCTGGACAGAACGGTAGCAAGCTTGCCCACGAATTACTCGAAATCAATCTCCATTTAACTTCCTCATGAGCAGCATGTAGTCAAGAAACGAAAACAGGTTAGACTTAACCATTAAACAGTTAAACTGGCTAATAGGCAAAAAATCAAAACTTACAGTCGAAAATAAAATTCTGATCTATAAGACTATAATCATACCTATTTGGACGTACGGCCTGGAATTATGGGGCTACGTCAGCAAATCTAACAGAGCAATAATCCAAAGAAGCCAATCTAAGATCCTACGAATGATAGTCGACGCACCACGGTATGTCTCCAACGCAACTCTCCACACCGATCTCGGTATATCTTCCGTACAAGACGTCATCCAACAAAAAAGCAACAGACATCACAACAAAACCATAACTCATAGAAACCTACTCCTAAAGACGCTATCGACAAGAGAAGACAACAGACGTCTCAAACGAAACTGGCCGATTGACCTGATTTGAATTACTGAGGTTTCGCCACTGGACGACTCCTAATCAAATCATCTAAACAACCATGACATTAGCTTATAGAATGTATATTCTGATTGCTGATAAAAAAAAGAAGAAGAACTTCCTCCTGAATCAGGTTTTGATCTGTTACCATCGTTCCCAAGTAGCTGAATTGCGCCATATTTTCAAACCATCTGTTCGCTATCTTCATGTCATGATTTTGCCCTGCACTGTACATGCATTCTTATCAAGATTCTTACGCCTATGACTGAAGCCAAAGTCACTGTGGCTGCAGAAAGGAGTCTACGTACTTCACATCGGAATTTGTGACTGGTAAAAATGTCATTAGCCGGTCACGGTAGCCGAATGTTCTAAGGCATGCACTGTCTTCTCTCGCTCAGAAGCCGGGATCGTGGGTTCGAATCCCGCTCTGGGCAATGATGTTTGTGTGCGTTTTTCTGTGTTTGTCTACAGGTAGAGGCTTTGCGACGAGCTGATCACCAGCCCAAGGAGTCCTACCGTATGTGTAAGATCGAGAAAAACCGAAATGAACGGAGTTCATGGAGGTAGGCCTAGGCCCACTGGAGCTGTAGTGCCAAGAAAAAAAAAAGGTCATTAGCCGGTCACGGTAGGCGAGCGGTCTAAGGCATGTACTGTCTTCTCTCGCTTGGAAACCGGGATCGTGGGTTCGAATCCCACTCAGGGCATGGATGTTTAGTTTGTGTGTGTGCTTTTTTCTGTGTTTGTATACAGGTAGAAGCCTTGCGACGAGCTGATCACCCGCCCAAGGAGTCCTACCGAATGTGTAAGATCTAGAAAAACCGCAGTGAGCGGAGAAGTTCATGAGGTAAGCCTAGGCTCACTGGGGCTGTAGTGCCAAGAAAAAAATGTCATTGCAAATAGGAATTAGAAACACAGTTAAATGCATCCTGTGGTGGTTGTGATGTGGTTGAACACTCTACGTTCATAAAGAACGTTATTATGATCACAGCGATGTAGCTACATATCGTCTTGTCCTTCCAGGTGGACAGCAAAAGGACACTCGGAGAAAATATTGCAGACAATGGTGGACTGAGGGAAGCGATCCGGGCATACCGGGAATACACATTGCGGAAAGGGTGGGAGCCGAAGCTGCCCGGACTCGAGAAATTAACACACGAGCAACTATTTTTCCTTACTTTTGCTAATGTGAGTAAGCCTCATGTTATTCCCTTATGAGTATGCACACGGCAAAGCTCAAAACTGATACGTGTTTATATATATTTACTTAATTCAGTACTGACTGTATGAAGCAAGAAGTGACTCACTGACTGACACATCAACCGTGTGACTGGCGAATTGCCTGAGAAAAGAACCCAACATCTGAACACCCTTAGTCTGCTATGAAACACGACCCAGAGCAGGTCCATCAGGACTGTGACCTCAGAATATATTTCCTTAAATTCTTTTATTTATTTGAGATATAATATATGTAATATTGGTCTTTGAAGCGAATCAACCAAATTGAATAAATTAAATTACATAGCCCATTTAGGCACATTTTACATATAATTTCTTTTAATTCGCATAGTGGAGGGTGGAGTCCAACTGGGTCCACTTGGCACGTCGGCCACTAATTGGCCTATTGTACCTGTAACTTACTTGACTTTCATTGATATTTTATAAGCTTCTATTTTACTCATTTTAAAGTAATTTTTGGGCCTCCAGATATAAAAAAAGATTTCTTTTAATAATTGTGTTTTGTATTAACGTATTCTTGATGTCCACCCGAGTATTTCAGTCATTATCTTGAAAGCATAAAAGTGAAAATAAGAGCACACAGTCTTATGCACATCATTAGCTCCCACACAATTTTTGTAAAACTTTTCTATATACATTCAAAATTAATCGAAATTCATCAATATTAATCTCAGGCTTTAATAATAAATTAAGAGTAACTGCAAATATAGTTATGTTACCGAACATTCCAGTTTGAAAATCTGTTCGAATCCTGGACTTTAGGTCAGACAATAATATTGGAAAGGTAAGGTAAAAATGGTAAAGTTGTCTCTGTGCTTATCTAATTACGCACTACGCCATGAAGAAGTGCGGGGAAGTAGATGTATAGGTCAAGTTTTCTTGGCATCAACACTAGTTGGAGGCAAGAGGAAGAATCCTCGAAAAATAAGTGGAGATGTGGATTAAACTGGACTAAATTTAATCACAGAAGTGTCCGTTCGCCGGAGTATAAATTAGTGTTTCTTCATCTCTCAGGCTCTGGAAGTTATGTCCACAAACGTTGAACCTTCAAATATATTTGTCTCTGGCAGCGATACCTTTGCCTACTTGAATGTAGTTTCTTCGATGAAGACAGCCGAGTAGGACGACACATACTGCCCCTCGAAGTGTGATAGGAAAGAACACAACTATAGACGTCATTGGCAGCGAGACATTCCATTGCATATATCTACTTTCAGATGTGGTGCACGAGGACTACAGAGTTAGCAGACCTTCTGTTATCCAGGGACGCTCACTGTCCTTCAAAATATCGAGTTATCGGTACTTTGTCCAACATGGAGGAATTCTCAGAAGCATGGCAATGTCCTGCGGGAAGCCCAATGAATCATAAAGAAAAGTGTGTCCTCTGGTAGTTTAATTTAATGGTATGGTAAACAGAAAACTTAGAAGAAAATCTCAGAAATATGAATATCCATTGACTGTTGAGGGAAGAGCCTTAACATATCCTGCCTTCGATTGACCTTTTAGTTTGAAGTGTGCGACGATGTTACAGTGTTGATACTAATTATATAAATCGAAGTGGAGATCAAATGAGACAACAGAGAGGAGAAATGAGGAAATAAAATATTTATTATGTTGAATCTTGACACACGCTCCATCAGTGTTCAGTGATTTTAATTGTAGTCACTCTGATCTTGTTCCTTCCAAGGCCGAACGTTCAATCCGCGAATCTCTGTAATGACAAAGAACTGCATGACATGGCATCACGAACCAATAGCAGGCAAGCTATAACTACCAGAGCTATCAGGAAGCAGACTCCTCTTTTGTCCATTTCAGCCCGAAAGACAACACACACTTCAGTTATTACTGAAATTTTACCGGGCTTATCCATAATGTTGTATTTTAGCGTCCTGTTGCACTGATTTTCATCCCTGCTATGTATACACTTGCCGTCTTGTAGTGCACTCAGTTTCACCTGTTACTTCACGACATGTTTCGGCAACATAGTGCCATCATCAGGTGCCCTAATTACGCCAATCTATTTCATTGCTTGCCTTTATAAAATTACTTAAAAGTATTTAAAAAGTGCGTATTTGTCAACTATAATAAATTTACACACACTAAAACATGTTAAGATTATTCATCTTATGTGTCATAATTAAAACTTGAGTGTGGTTCTTCCCCTATGGGGTCGTTTTTCTTATATTCTGTGTAAACCGTGTTTTGTGATGTGTGTTCCCTTCTTAGCTCCAATGAAATAGATTAGCGTAATTAGGGCACCTGATGATGGCACTATGTTGCCGAAACATGTCGTGAAGTAACAGGTGAAACTGAGTACACTACAAGACGACAAGTGTATACATATCATGGGCTTATCCAGTTACTGGGCGCTTATAACAAGCGCCAAACATATCCGAAGTGCAAGGTGTCTGGTAAACGTAGTTCAATTCTGTGGTCCTATAGTACGAGGAAATATAGAAATGCGCCCCCAGTGTCCTCATTTCTATGGAGAAGGACATTACGTTGACTGTGAAATTAGAATAATTAAGATATTAATTTATGAATTTCTTTATTTTTAAGATACTTAAGTAATATTAGGTTCTTTACTGCTCTCTTAATATTGAAATTTTAGATTTATTTATAACATATTACTTCTGGCCTGTTCATATTCAGAACTTTATAGGAGTAAATCGTTCAGAAATTTGGTGGGGCTCCTTCGATAGTGAGCGGCTCATAGCATATGTCTCTCTTGCAACACACGAAAATATAGCGCAGAAGAAGGCGAAAGCGCGCGCACCTATCCAGATTCGAATCTGTGATTCCAGTGACCGGGCGGACCTAGATATGATGCTCTTCAAACCACGCGGTTGCTTCGTTAGCTTAATTTCGAAACTGCAACCCGAATTACACTAGAGACGGCGTCCATCAGAGAGTAAAATGGTTGTGCAGTCCTGTTTTTAGCCTCTCTGAAAAATCATAACATATTGTCGCGTATTGGGCGTATAACGCGACAAATAACTTCACGAGGTATTTGATGTAGCGAATTTTATTTCACACTCGCTCTTACAATCACCCAAATTGCAGATTTACGCTTACTGCTATCTGCAGTATCACAATTAGTACACTCCAAACGCCACAATACAACTGACTGGTTGCTGGCTAACTCGGAACTAACTCGGAGGTAGCTTGAGGACTGACTCGTAGGTAGCTCCAGGACTGACTGTGAATAGCCTTCGCTGCTCCTCATGTAGCCTCGATCGGACAATACAGAAAACGGCCACGTAATAAGCACCCTTGTTGCCTGGCGCTGTGTTGCTAGCAACGCTAGCGGTAGTAACCGCTGTTACTACCGTAACAATCCTGTTGCGTCACCGTTACGTTACCGTGCGGAGGAGGGGGAGGGGAGCGCTGACTCACCCGCNGGGGGGGGTTCTCCTTTGCGCAACATGTCACAATATGATAGCAAATGCCATAGGTTTTGTGAGTTGCGAAACATTATGTTTTAGCATGTAATTAATATTCCAATTGATTTGAGGTAAGGTAAAGTAATCCCTGCTCTTAATTAATTAAGAACCACGTCATGAAGGCGTAGTGGAAAGTGGAATTATATCTCCACCATTCTTCATCATGGCTCTAGATTGAGGTGAGTATTCGTTCTATCAATGACAGCGAAAATGACGCATTTCGACGCATGCGTACAAAAATATCAAGTAACTGTAGTTAGCCTCGGGATGATATTTATAGGACTCTTAATTAGATACTTCTTCAGATCCAGGAAGTAGTGGCATTTCATCATTATAATTCGGTTTTGTTTTTCGTGTGGTCCTGATATCTCGCACATAGGAAAGTATCGACATATCGATCACATGCATCTCAGTGAATGTGTGATTCAAAACACAAATAAATGGTGCAGCATATATATACAACATGCATACCTTACGTTTCCACAAAATAACGTCATATTATCGGTCAGTACCGTTTGCGGCGGCGCTATGGCCAATGGCGTGATGCGAGTGTTGACCGTCATTTGTCTCTCACGTCATCTGTAGGCCCTGTGCGGAAAATACCAGATCCAGATTTGAAGAGAGCGGCAACATTGTTGGCTTACAATAGTTTAGATTAAAGACGAAGGCAATTATACGGATTTAAATTTAAGATGGATATTTGTGAGAAGGCTGTAAAAACAAAGCACCATAACTGTTACTTCACCTGTTAATGGGAAGGTACGGTACATTCACTAATATTAAGTTAATAAAAACTGAAATACTTTATCACCATTAAGATTTATACAGGCACAATCACTTTCATTGCCAGTCACGGTAGCTGAGCGGTCTAAGGCATGTACTGTCTTCGCTCGCTTGGAAACTGGGATCGTGGGTTCGAATCCCACTCAGGGCATGGATGTTTAGTTATTGTGTGTGCGTTTTTCTGTGTTTGTGTACAGGTAGAGGCCTTGCGATGAGCTGATCACCCGCCCAAGGAGTCCTACCGAATGTGTAAAATCTAGAAAAACCGAAGTGAACGGAGAAGTTCATGGAGGTAGGCCTAGACCCACTGGGGTTATAGTGCCAGGGAAAAAAGAATCACTTTCATTAAACTTCAGAAAGTCTGTCTGATGTAAAAAAAATACGTTTCGTAAAAGAATTATTTAAGCGACATTTGATTATTTAATGAATATTTGAAGAAATACGTGTATTATCGGGGGATCAGCCGTGTAAAGATGAAGTTAATATTTATGCTCTGAAGAATGTCTCTGTCCATCTTCTCAGGGGCTAACTGGATACTAACTCTCTCTTTCCATGGCTAATCATCGGGAAGACTTAATCCCATACATTCATCTTGAGAAGTCCAAATAGTTCAGTACATATTCCTTCTTTTTCTCCTTCGTCATCATTTTCATACATGCCTGTTTCTAATTTCTCCAGGCGTGGTTGGTCTCTCAATCATTTCCCCTGGCACTCTGGATATTTTCATCTCAGTAGCTCACATTCTAGTGTCTGCTTTGGTGTTGTTCTTTGGGTAGAGTACTCTTTCAGTTTGTAACACACTATTTGGAAAGAGAAGTATCTTCTGGGCTATAATGTCATGTAGATCAGTAAAAGTGACCCGACGATTCGGAGAAACATGTAGCCCCATTTTTTCAGTCACGGAGATGAAGGCAATATGTTCCTCCGAAACGCCGGCTGACTTTCACCGGACTACACGGCTTTGTATTCTAGAAGATAAAGATTTTTATAACCATTGCTTTCAGAATCACAGATCACAGATTATTTTATTTTTTTTTTATTGCTAGTGGCGTGGGACAGTCCCTTGTACTGCGGCCACTTCTGGCCTATTGTACCAATCACAGATAATAACTACAGGTCGGAATTCAGGTTTGCGATTGTAGAAGCTGGAGAAAAGTACAGGAAGCTGTGCTTCGCTCGCATGAATTTCGAACAGAACACTCAACTTGTTGTTTGATGTCTTTACATCGTTAACATATATGTTAAGAAATAAACACAAAAAAATTAATTTCTGCCTACAGATAAAATTGTCGCTAGTAACTGGACAGGTTTATACTGCTTCATACAAATTTCCATTAAAAATTGTGGAAAGATTAATTTATTTGAAGATACGATGAAAAGACACGGCATCACAGTAACACATTCTGTGTTTCAAACGTGCAGAACACTTAAAATGGCAACTCCGTTGCGATTAAGTCGGTCAGTTCGTCATGTGAGGTAGGCCGCACACCGGCATGCGTCAAGACATGTAATAGTCAAGACACGATGTCTGCGACATGACGCAAAGAAAGGAGCACAGTTGAAACGAACGAGATCATGAAAACCGCCGCACACCGGTCTGAGTCATGATGCTGACGCGATGACTCATAATTTTCATAATCTCATTTTTTTAACTGTGCTCCTTTCTTTGCGCCATGTCGCAGACATCCTGTCTTGACTATTACATGTCTTGACCCATGCCGGTGTGCGGCCTACCTTAGTTCGACAGTAACTTCAGCGTGAGAACAGAGATATCTGTAGGAAGTTATGCATGTCAAAAGTGCTGGTAGGTTGTAGGTTCTGTTAGTTAGTTGGTCCCTTAGTTTATTCCTTCCCTTCTTCTTTCCTTCGTATCTTATTTCAATCTTCCTCTCTCTCTCTCTTTCTCTCGCCGTCTGCACTTCTTTATCTTCTTCCTTTCTCTCTTCTGCTGAAGCACTGTTCAGTGACCCTGGGTTACTCAGCTTCTGGCTGAACTAAACCAATGATCATGACGACAAATCGGGCGAAGTTATTCCGTTGCGGTTTATACAGGGGTCGATATTAACACTCGTGCAGTTGCGATTGGCGCAGTTGCCTGTGAACTGTCAAGCACACAAGATTCAGGAGATGCTCTTCTTTAGAAAATGTGGCGACCAGAAGTTTCAGCGCAGCGCTGGATAAAACAGGATCGTTAGGATAATGTTTTTTCGAAAATACAGGTCAGCAGAACAAGATATTATACTTCATATATAATTATAATACACATTCTTTTCCAGTTCTTGTTCTAAGCAGAAAATTTTTGTGTTCATCTCTTCTATTTTGTATTCGTAAAGTTAATTTCCGGTCACGGTAGCCGAGCGGTCTAAGGCATGTACTGTCTTCGCTCGCTTGGAAACTCAGGGCATGGATGTTTAGTATTTGTGTATGCGCGTTTTTCTGTGTTTGTCTATAGGTAGAGGCCTTGCGACGAGCTGATCACCCGCCCAAGGAGTCCTACCGTCAGATCTAGAAAAACCGAAGTGAACGGAGAAGTTCATGGAGGTAGGCCTAGGCCCACTGTGGCTGTAGTGCCAAAGGGGAAAAAAAGTAAGTTAAATATATTTGTAATTGAAAGAAAGTCTGCATTGGACTTCTCTTAGCCATAATACTCATGTCTGAACGGTGTAGCCCTCTGTCGGGAGTGAGAGAAGACAAAGTTTAGTGAAGCACTCACGTAAAACTTAAAATGAATATGGGATAAGCACAGCAGACCAATTAAACGTTATTAGCTTCTTTTTTATTAAGACATGGAAACCAGAATAGTTGTCTTTGGAGGGTCTTCGATACACGAATTACAGACAACTCGTGGTACCTGGTACTTCTTAATAGGATGATAATTACTCAGAAACAGTGAAGAAATTTCTTGCTTTGGTGTTATCCGAAGGTTCAGTGTCGTGTTCACAGAAGCTCAAAATTAGACTCTGTCTTCAGCTAGCAGAATCCAGTTCACGCCCTAATACCCTATTCTCTAATACCTATTTAGTATATTATTTTTATAACAATGCGGAAAACAAGTAACTTAGAATCTATCCTTGGAATTTCCATTATCTCCACGCTTAACCTAATATTGTCATGGTGCTTGGAATCTTCAAGCAGATGAAATGATATATGCATAATAAAATTCTGAGTGTGAAATCTCGAGGAAGGGAAAGCAATCATAATTAATGCACTATTAGGAAAATTGGAATTTAATTTTGAACTTTTGGTATGATTGCTTATAAAATGCATTTGAACGACTGGGGCGATATTAAAATGATTCATTCATCAGTAATCTGTCAGACGACAGGTCCACAGTCTCTTCCAAAACAGGTCCTCCACTTAATGCTATCTACAGCTTTCTCCTTCAAATGCTCCAGAGGAAACATCTTGCATACATGGTATCTCTGTTTTTGGAAAGAGATTATCCAGGAAAAGTGATAATGTGGTAGTTTTTTCATTTGATTTCCACATATTAAAATGATATGGACTAGTAAATTCCTTAGAAGAGTTAAAATTATGTATTAATTTTAATTTATATGTGAAGAACATATGAATAACCAAGGTGCTACTAGAACTTCTTCGAGACGGCCCAAAGAGATTTTACAACTCATAAGCCTACTGGGTATATTAAGTGACGAAGTGAAATGTATGTTTCCGGAAAGCAGATAAATTGTGTACGGATTATGTATAATTCCAGGAGGGTTCCAAGATGAGTGACACGAATGTTTCTGTCGCCGGCAGCCATCAGAATCTTGTACCTGTGGCATCGCGGAAGGCAAGGTTAGTGCTCTGAGATACAACTTTGTGCACTTTTCAAACGACTACAGAAGTATCTTAAAAAAATATCGAGAATTCTATCTCAGCTGCAAGACGTCTGCTTCACAACTTCAGGAATCCTGGCTTGAATTTGAAAGAAAAACTGTCGTCTTATGTGAGATTTTCCGTTATTTTCTTCAGTTCGCCCAGGAGAATGGTGGGATGCATAAAAATAGAAATATTCCTTATTTCTTCAGTTTTACAACACATTATGCATCCTCCTGTGGCTACCATTGTGAGGAGGGACATTTCAGTTAGTGAAATGATTGGTTATTAATTTTGATAATCTTGGTTCAATTACTGACGAAGATATGAATTCTTCTCTTCGCCTTCACTGTGTCCACATCAGCTCTAACGACCGCTTAGTGTTTTAATCTGTGCATAGCGAGAATTTTGTTTGGATGGCAACGTTGCCGGAGTGTGAAAGTCACTACTCGCTTAGCGAATGGAAGATTTCTTACTGCATCTTGCTGGACGACACATAGTCACAGCTTCAGATAAAGAGAAGTAAAGTAAGGGAATAAATAACCATTTAACCCTCGTTCCGTAGGAAAATTTTAATGTGCTCTCCCATATCTGTTCCTACCGGGTCGCCTATATGACAGCCCTTATTCTGAATGCCGAATGTAAGCAAAAAAACACAAGTCAAAAATCGATTGTACCACAGGCGAAGCACAACGTACGTGTATGTATGAGTAGATAGTCTTTTATCTGTGAAAGTGTCATGCAGGAATGTCATACTGTCATGCACAGATGACAGAAATAAATTTCCTTAGCAAATGGAAAGGAATGACTTTCATTTTCCTCATCAAATCTAATACACATAAAATGTACGATTAAACGTTTTATCAATTTTCTGTATCTCACTGCAGACCTAATAAAGAAGAACGTATAGATGTTCAGTTTTCTCCTTAATCTTGTAAATATGCAAGGTAGAAATTTTGGTTGCGATGTGAACCCCAGTTTCGAATCTCTTTTTATTGAAGGGATTTGTAGCTTTTAATTCTTAATATTAGTGTTATTTTTTCTTTAACGTTTTGGTAAATTACACCGCGATGTTGACAAGGAAAGAACCCATAAACTAGTAGACGATAAGTCTTCTTTTCCTTAACGTAAGGAAAGTTAGCCCTGTGCTTAACTAATCGAGCACTACGTCATGAAGGCGTATGGAAGAGTGGATTTAGAGATCCACATTTTTGGCATTAGTTGGAGGTGAGTGGCCAGCCTCACGTCCCTGCCGCTTTACGACCGGGGAAAGAGCCCCCCGTACCCATTGCATAAAACAGTGGATGGGCCCCAGAGCAGGTCTGGGCGATTTGGAGAAGAGAAAATTCTTGACTCTACTGTGACTCGAACTCCGACCCTTCAGTCGTCCAGCCCGTAGCCAGTCGCTGTACGGATTACGCTATCCCGGCTCCTCTTTTCCTTAACGTACATATGAGAATTACAATCATTTCATTCTACAGCTTTCATGTATGTTCCTATTCAGATTTTTTCTTAAAATTTGATTCTCTTAAATGTTGCGTATATCTCCTGAAAGAAAATTCTCTGCTTACACCGGACAAGATAACACTTCAGAACGCGGACGCACATCCACGCATCGAGAGATTCAGCTGTTGCTCTCAGATCAATCACTGGTCGTAGTTCATTCTTGCCATGTTACAGTCTCAAGAAGAGGACCGGGCTGGAACGGCGTCTGCTGGTTGTGGTGGCAGCCCTGTCCATCCTGCTGCTCATCTTCTTCGTGCTCATCATCGTCTTGGCCTGCAAGAACAAACTACAAATGGGTTAGTTAAATGAGAGCTCGCTGTACATGCAAAGTTATTTCTGTGCCTGAGCACCACGCCTTACAGTGTATGAAGAGAGTGAGGGTAAACTTCCACATATTCTCACTCTCCATACTTATTGGCGAGGAATGAACAGCGTCGTACTCCAGCGTTCCCTTTCCTCTATTGCCGACTGGACAAGGGGCTGGGTTGGGCTAATCGTCGGTATGGACACAGTGATAAGGAAAATAGAGCCTCTCTCTTTGCCGACAATCGAAACTAGATCGATTAGTTTGTTGCCAAATCGTTTCGCAGAAGAGTTATCTAAGAAATTGTGTAAAACCGAAGCATTATAATATTTTTAGATACATTAGCCCTGACCTAATTAGTAGAAAAAGAACTACACGTTTATCTTTAATTATTTTAATATAGTTGATATAATCCTTAAAAAGGCCAATTTTAGGAAAATGCATTAAAATTTGGTCCTAAGAGAGATGAAGTGACGGGAGGTTGGAGAAAACTGCATAATGAGGCGTTTCATAACTTGTACTCTTCTCCCAGTATAATTAGAATGATCAAGTCAAGGGGAATGAGATGTGCAAGGCATGTAGCATGAATGGGTAGAAGAGGAATGCATGCAGGATATTGGTGGAAAAGCCAGAAGGAAAGAGACCACTAGGAAGACCAAGTCGTAGGTGGGTGGGTAATAAAGTGGATTTTGCAGAAATAGAATGGGATGGTATGGACTGGATCGATCTGGCTCAGGATAGAGACCACTAGAGGGCTCTTGTGAACATGGTAATGAACCTTCGGGTTCCATAAAATGCTGGGCAGTCTTGGGTAGCTGCAGAATTGGCGGCTTCTCAAGAACAACTCATCTCCATGAAGTTAGTTTAATTAGTAAGCATTAAAACTGCATACACGGAAATAAATTAAATCTCGCATTTGGCATTACAACGAACATAAAAAACTGAATAGGACATAATAGTTTAGAAACTGAATTTTTATTGTAATTTACGTCAGTATAATCATTGTTTTGACTGAAATTAAGTACAATGTTTTGCAGTTTTACGTTTCTTTGCTTACTTGTAGAATAAATCCTCGATGGGCAATTGAATAAAGTAATTTATTTCTTTACTGATCGGCCTAGAGATATCCGTGGCGAAAAGTGGAGGGTTTACTTCACCAAGCGTTCATTTCTACGGTCTAGCATTCTCCTATATAATGGGTAGCATAGGATTTTTTCAAAGGGGCAAAGCAACCGAAGCTTGAAGCTGTCCAGTCATCTCTAATACTGTGTGTACAACGTTTCTAAGTCCAGCTGCGCGCTGCATACGATATACTTGTGCGTTTTTAATGTTTGGTGTTCAGAAAAAAATAATTCTTATCTCTTTCTTACTCATACACATTGTACGAGAAAATATCGCGACTTCAACAATTCTGTCTCGAGATCTTAACGAACTTAAAGTTTCCAGCCCCTCTGAATACGACGCAGTGGCTTCTGGAGTACCGTTTGTCTGTCCACAGGTCTGTATGCCTATATGACTGCCCGCCTTGCTAGCACCTCAACGCTTGAACGGATATTATGATGTTTGGCATTTAAGAGTTCATCGATCATAGATCAGTGTTGGGTGAATATGGAGATTATAGTTGAAATCAGGGGCCTTTCACAGGACCCCAAAACAAAAAATTATGATTTTTCGAAACCGGCTCTTGCGATTTATATTACATTTCAACAACGTAAGGAGACTTTCTTCCTAAACAAAACTTCGCGTGTGGTACCTCCAGACAAGCAACGGTACGCCCCCCTAAAGACCCAAAGGAGTATATGAGGAACATGTGCTATATCCTTGCATCAGTATTTTGTATTACTTTCAAATCTAAATTTTATTTTGTGTTTTCATTCTTAACATAAGTTTACAATAATAACAATTAATCATTCTTGTTCGTATATGCACAATACAGCAGAATTACGTAGCTTAATGCAATCTTATAAGATTTCTTTACAAAGGCGTACGCTACAAAATAAATTAATGTATGGTGTGGAACGTATAGATATGAGCAAGGCATATCAGGCAAATCACACGGAGTGTTCCTTCTTATCATCCAACAATTTAAAATATTATAACTCCTTTGTTGTTGAGCATAATTGTATGTACATTTCATAACTCGTTCTACACACTTGGAAAATTTGTTTGTTGCCGTTGATCACTCCGAACTGAGTAATAAGCTAGTTGAAAAAGTGTCTATCATCAAAACCGTTTACCTTTCTGATGGTTCTTGTATTGTTGCGAACAGAATATATCGTAGAGCGTTTTGTGTTCATGTTGTACGTTCGAGAGACACTACTTATCGGACCGTTAATGGGTCTGAAGAAACATTATTTGTGAGTGACGAACTCGAGAGGCCAGAAGGGTACCTCATCTTTTCGTACGGAAGAATTTGTCGGTGCAGCACGAGAAGCAGTAACAAATATCCAACAGTAATTGTGCTACGTTTCGCCCAACATATTTGGATCTTAACAAGCACTGCTTAAAAAATCTGTCGCGATGATTTGACGTTGCTTTCATACAAATGCAGCTGTTAGCCGCTGTAGGAAAATGGAGACGCTAGTCTTTAACGCTTTGCGAGGGAATAAGGAGCACTGCTGGAAGAGAGTCTTGGTGTCTTGAAGGTCATACTGCTCTCCGATGAAGCATAATTCCATTTTGAATGTTAATTTAATGTCCGATTTTGGGTCTCAGGAAATCCATAGCTTACTATTACATTATCGAAAGTCGGAATTTTCGGTCCCATGCTTATCGATGGTAGCCTCACTTTTGATGTTCACCTCAGTCTGCTGAGTGATGACTTTGTATTTATCTTGATGGCATATGATATTCAAATTAATTCACACTGTTTCCAAAAAGATGGTGCCAGACCTTACATCAACAGTGCCCTAATTCGCGTTGCTCATGACGTGTTCGGGCAGGGAGTCCTGTGGAACCGGTATTCCGCAATATGTGCGTGAATAAATTCATGGCTCCTAACCTCATCGGACTTAAACCCTTGCGGTTATTTTATGTGGGGATATTTTAAGGATAGTTTGTATATGAAAAGTGCTATCCAATCAGAGATTGATTTCTTTTTATATTTTATTTCAATTTTATTGAGGAGAATTAAGCAATTTATGTAGAAATTCTGACCAAGGTTCTGAACAAATTTGTTCTTTGTTCGCATAAATTTCGTGATCTTCTGGTATATCACATGGAGAGTGTTCTTTTGTTGCTAGTGGGGTTGGCCTATTGTAGTGGCCTATTGTACCAGCCCCAGATGATAAGTGAGGGTGATTGTGGAGCAATTGGTGGAATGAAGATTGGCAGGGGAAACCGAAGTACTCGGACAGAACCTGCCCCAGCACCACAAATCCAACTTGACCAGACTCGGGATCGAACCTGGGCCGCCGCGGTGGAAAGCCAGCGACTAACCGCTTGAGCTATGACGCGGCATGGAGAGTGGTTTAAAGTAACAAACATATTTTCGAAGTATGCTGAACGATATGTTGAAAGTTCATGTAATTGCGTTGAACAATAATGAAGTTTTACAAATTATAATGTGTCATATGACAAAAGCACTCTGTATTTGAAACAATGCTAAAAGTAATGCTTATTTAGCGAAATGCAAAGGGCCACGTCTGCAGTGTAGGAATGTTGTTGCTGATTAGCTTCATCACCTTATTATACTGATTGTTTGTTTATCCGCACAACACAACTCTCAAAATCTCGATCACATTAAATGGTTACAACGAGTTTATTGATTTCAATGGTATCTTGCTACATGTTTCGGCTTATGAAAGGCTATCATCAGGCAGATATACACTAATAACTTATTCTTAAAATATTGAATTGCATTTTTTATTGATATAAACAATTAATACAAGTTAACACAACAGGACGCATTCTTGGAAGAGAGCGCTATTACAGTACCTCAAATGAAATAACCGGGATAGTTCTACAAATAGGCTTTTGCTGCTTCCTTTCACATGCTTTCCAAATCATTATTCATTAATAATCCTATCATCCGGCACTATATAGTCAGAGTTACTGGAAAAATTGTTAAATAAACCAAAAATAAATACACACTCCTACAGTGAAGCGTGTAACGAATGAACATGACAGTTCTATGTCCGGTCACATGGGCAAATTGGGCACACACTTCCGCTTTTGTTCATATGATTGTATCTCCCACGAACTTCCCTCATGAATGAAATCATTAATCACTAACAATATATAATAAGCACAATAGATCATTGATGGTCGCAGTGCAAGGGCCGGATTATTATGGCCCGTCCCGCATGCGTTCATTCATTCATTGAACAATATGTGTTGCGGGTATCTTGGTGTCCCGTAAAATTATTTCAGGAGCCATAGAGAATTTTAAATCTGTCACAATAATGTCTTAATCTTTCGCTGATTATCGCGAAACAGATGATATTCCTGTTCTGTAAATTGAATCTCTCTCTAGTGCAGAGACTTCATAAATTTTGTGTTCGGTTATTATATTAATTTAAGAGTTCAGGTATGATATTTCGTAAAAAAAATGCTTTTTTGGTAGATATATTTTGTGCAATATATGTTGCTTAAACAATGCCTTTGAAATTTTCTTGTGAGAACGCAAGGTGCAAAGCTACTCATAATCAACGCAGTGAGAAACTCTGTTCTTATACATTCCTAGTCTGATTACTTTAGTTACTTTGTGTTTTTCCACAGTTACACACAGTGAGCGCTGTAGATTATAGACTTCGTCCGGTTACCCTTCACCAAAACAAAAAGCTAGCCGTTCTGAAATTATATGGTTAGAACCGTGGGTCACTGACCGTTGGCTGCAAAAGTGTGGTGATATTATGGGTACGTTTTGCTGTCTGAATCGAATAATCAATGAGGTTGCCCCTGTTGTGCCGTTGTGCCTGCGTTATCTCCATGGATACCGGGCTAAACAATGGAGTGGCATGTAGTAGGTAGGACATTGCGTTCCACATGCAAGCAATGTCACAGGGATAGAGTCAAGTACCTACTCTATATAGGCCTAGGCATCGTGCATATGTACGGTTATGTACCTGGAGGCTCTGAGGAACACGTTGGAATGCCCCTATTAGGATAGGCTGCTCCTAGAGCCTTGAACAGCCTGAATACTGAACAAGAGTTCCACTGTAGGATTTGAGATTCTCACAGCGGTGGTTATGAATAGTTCTATCTTCTGGGATATGACGCCGTGTAGTCCGTTGAAAGTCAACCGACGTTTCCGAGGTTTATATTGCCTCAATCTTCAGGGTCGAATAATAAGCTGAGTAATATACTAGCGTGAAAACAGTTGGCAAGCAGATCTCTTCCTGCACTGCTTCTTCTTCGATCCTGAAGATGGAGGCGATATGTTCGTCCGAAACGTTGGTTGAACTTAAACGGACTACACTGCGTTATATCACAGAAGATAGAACTATTCATAACCACCACTTTAAGAGTTCTACTCATCAGCGACTTCCGGTTATATGTATGTCTTCGTATGAAGGTGAATGTACAGAGATGTATGAATGTACGTGCGTGCGTGCTCATGCACACGTAGAAATTTGTGCACGGACTTTTATCAGAATATGCGTTTTTGTAGACATGGGATTTAGTCAAGGCCTGTATATGTGTTTATATATATATATGTGCAGTACATATGGAATCTGGAAAACTTACACGTTTGCCTGAGTATATATATATATTACGAAAATGTCAACTTTCGCAACTATCGACATTTGAAGTCGATAGTTACGAACTGTCATTAATTAGAAATATGACCTAGGTATAACTTTACTCCCACTTCTACTCATTTTCACAGAAAGTGATACAATATAGGTGTGTGTCTGTATGTATGTATGTTTTGTCTGCTTGTATGTTCTATTATTTTCTGTAAGGACCGACTTCCATGACACTTAATATAATGTCATGTATCGACACACCTTGCTTCTTAACTCCTTGCCATAAACAGCAGCAATATGGCGGCCATAAAGATTTAGGGAGTGGAACCATTATTGAAGTCATTCATTTATGATAACCGATCACAAATATTTGAACCTGAGTGCGTCTGAAATCAAAGAATCTTATCATTCCACAATTTACAGTCTGTGCTGCTGATGGTGTCTTTATACAAGCGATATATAAATAAGGAAATAAATAAAAAAATAAAGGTGCAAAGGAACTTACTTAATTTAATAATTATATATCTCCAAAATTTCGGTTCATTGTCAAAAGTTATTAGAGCAATTAAATCGAGAGGCATGAGATATATGGGGAGGGGCGTAGTGAATTGAGAATCGTTAGCAAATTTTAGGGAAAATATCAGTTTTGGAACCCGGTCTTCGATTGGAGGATATTATTAAAATATACTTCAGAAAAATATGCTGTGGAGGCGTGGCCTGGATTCACTTTGGTTTAGGATAGCGTCCAGTTGCAAGCCTTTGAACGCTGTAATAAATTTCAGGGTTAAATAAACGAGTAGAATTCCTTGACCAGCAAAACGACTACCATCTTATAAAGAACGATTCTGGGCAATGATGTTATTTAATCATATAGATATTTGAAAACATTTGCCAAGTTACTCTATTTTTTAAGGAAAAAGAAACGTATTGATTAAAGACCTGCGATCTTTTGCCGGACTTCTCACTATCTGTAAGTTCCAGGATCAAATCGCGCTACTGAAAGAAGGAAGCTGAAATCAGAGCGGTAGCATTTCCAATGCCTTGACGTGAAGATGCTGACAATTACGAAAAACATTTTGATGTGATTGCTATATCCGACAAACCACTGTGACCTAATTCGTTCAAACCTACGGTGACCTGTCAGAGACACGCATGTTTTCATCGTTACTGTGGGCCGAGTCAGTTCAGTCAGTGACATGACTGAATACAGGCTGGATGGTCAGGATTCTATCCCTGGCAGGAGCAGGGTCATTTCTCATCTTTACTACGTCCAGGCAGGTTCTGGGTTCTGCTAACTTTCTTCTGTCCGAAAAGAACCAGAGGCAAGGCGACCGGGCAGTGATCACGCACTGTCCGAAAATTTTGGCGATTATTATGCGTTCCGTGTTACCGCCACAATTCCTATACACAAATTTACCATACAGTTCACTCGTTTCTGTGATTGTCGAGGTGAATCTGGTTCTAATTCAGCTTATAAGAATACGAGGGAAGTGCGTTAATTAAAAAGGGGAATAGAAATATGTACGTGTATGTCAGAGTAGGATAAATGTTTCATAAATTCATTCTTTGCGACTTTGGTGTAATATATAGCTTCTTTTTCCATATGTTGCACATACATGTTTTTAATCAAAATCGAACTATGTTACAGATTCCACATTTTATAGTTAAAAGATAAGCGATCCCTGTAAAAAACCGTGGAGGCCGGTAGGTTTGTGAGACGTCGAGGTTCTCATATTTTCCAGACAATCGGCTCACAGATGGCGTTGAAGTTGTCAGCTTTACGCGCCGACCGCCCTTTACCCCCAGGAAGATTCCTGATACTCATTTCTGTTAGAGGCTGAGTTGACCCCAGGGCCATAGTGCGGCTGGAAGGAGTAGGTAAATTAAAAACAATCAATACCATCGGGAATCGAACCCTTGACCTTCCAGCTTGTAGCTTAGTGTCTCAACCAACTACTCTGCCGCGTGCCCTGCCACATTATATAGAATTATATATAATACGAATGTATTTCATTAAATATTCTCGATACCGAAAATGAAATTTCACATAAACTGTTTAGGCATTAATTCGGTATTTTTCGTTGCATATTTTTTTAATGAACCTCTTTTTCATAATTAAAGACCTATTGAGCTTCCCGTAAGATCAGGTTTATATTGAAGTAATTCGATTCACACCAAAATTGTCTTCACATTTTTTTGTATAGACCTCGAATACGGCCTACCTAATTCGTTCGATACCTATTCAGTAGTTTCAGAATAATTTGCGGGCAGACGCAGTGGTCTTACAATTATGCCTTCTATTCACTTGCGTTCTGAAAAGAGTCGCAGCATGAAAGAGAACTCTGAAAATGACTAACGATTTTAACTGAATTAATTTCCCTGGGGTCTCTGATCACTTAGGCCATGACACTAATATCTCTCTACACTTACATTGTTGTTTATTCGTTAAGTATTCCACAGCTTTTTCTTATTTATTGAATTCCAGTACCCTTTATTCTGAAATATGTTGTTGAGCTCCAACTCTGTTTGAAAGGTTTCTAAAATAGACGACCTTTAATTTTACATTACTTACACAACATATAATACCAAGGGTGTATATTGACTTACACCTTCAGAACATGAAAATATTTTAATCATAAAACTGTATGTTTTGCTACGAAGACATCGTTTCACTAACATCTTTATACCAATAAGATGAAGTTATTTCTACCGTAAGGTCTTGGGACCACGCTTACGAGTACAACATTTATTTACAAGGCCTAAAATAGCCTTTGATATCTGTCGAAAAACAAAAATTTTTCCTGCTGGCATGAGTAAAAAACGACATAATTTCATACCGAGCATCAGAAATTTGCTTTTTCGCAAAAGCTAATATGCCACCTCGGCCTAATGCCTATTTAAATACAACATAATGATATGACTTTCTGTAGCGAGAAAATATATGTTATATATTCAAGAATGTCCGGTTCCTTTCTTTGATTCTTTGAGCAATTAGGTCGACGCAACAGTGAGGTTGCCTCATTTACCGACTTTCATGAGTCCTACTCGGCTTTCTCGGTTACCGTATCGGTCGCAGATCACCAGTACCCATCATGCATCACCACAACATGTAACCTCGACCAGCAAAACAAAGAACTTAACAGTACTTCAGCACCCTCTCCAATGTAAATTGAAGATACAAGGTAAAGTGGTTGGAAAACAATAAGCTTAAGCGCTGAGGAGTGAAGATACGCAATGGCGTACAGCACTCAGGAGCAAACTATCCAACATGTAAAGCCGTTACTCTCTTTCGATGTCTGAATAAGGCAATATGGGGAAAACCAGCATTTAAGAACAAAACCTAAAGTAAGAATTCATAAATAGTTACACGACCGGTCCTGATCTGCGTAGCGGAAGCAAGATTAGACATTTGCGAGACAAAGGAAATAATTATTACTGGAGAAATGAATACCTTGAGGAAAACTGTAAGGAAGAGAAGTGAGGTTCGTGTACGGAACCAGATCATTAGGGAGCAGTGTGAAGTTCAGTCAATATGAGACTGGATGAATAAGTGTGGAGAAGAACGAGATAAACGTATTTAAGGAATGATGAGATAGAAGCTTTCGCACCGTCAGATATAACTCAGCACTCATTGTGGAGAAACTGGCCATAATGAGTGAATGCAGGAGAAACCGACAGTAATGAGCAGTAGAAACTGGAAACTGTTATTCACAGTAGAAACCTAGCGGGATAATGTGGAAAAATACTGTATGTAGGTTCAAATCTCAAAAGCAACTTATTGATCTGAAGGCTGTTCGTTGTTGATAATAATAGCTTCTCTTTCCTTTTTTACAGCGAATCTAACACTCCAGCCAGTATGCAACAGTGAACAGTGCATCGCATCAGGTAAAACTCCATTGTTCTCCTTTAATTGTTGTCTGTGTGTGTTGCTACAATAAATACTGGACATTCTTTACAACAATTGTGTTTCTGGACATTACCCATCTTCCTGTTTATATTTAAAACAGAACTTTTCGGAAACTGGATTTTGTCTTCGTCTTCAGGGAAAGCCTACTCATTTGGGTCCAATCGATAGAACAAGTCCCTATCTTCAGACACCTGTACCAACGCAAGATAGGGTGCACGAACCAAGCACAGCATAAACCATCTGCAAGAGTTAAGACAAACTTTAAAGACTTTAAGAAATTCGGTACGTATGAGGCTTAGCACCAGAGTACTGTCAGAACAGATGTCATCACTAGAGAGATAAATTCTCTGTATGGTAAAAGACATAAAAAACATAATCCTCCCACTTAATCTGCGCTGGGCGGAATTGTAGTTTTCACTTCTGCGATAATGGAAGTCCAGAGATGTCCAAGATGGGTTGACTGATCGCATGATTTGCCAGAGACATGTAGGCGGATTCCTTGTACGAGTATTTCGTATGTGGTGTTTGGTACAATCTGCAAGACCGTCGCCTCTGTCCAACATATTTTGTGGTCTTTTTCCTAAGTATATTGGGCTAATTTTGATTGACAGAAATTCATTGCAATTTTTATTTTGGCGCTATATAAAGAACCAAATATTTTGTCCAAAATATGATAGTGCGGTTGAACTTCGTATGCGAACAAACAGTGCTGTTTCTTCTGTTGCACCCCAGACGCTGGAAAACACCTGGCGTGAAATCGAGTATGGTTTGAGCATTATGCGAACTACAAATAACGCTCAAATTGATAAGTATTGAACCTGATGTGATGTTATTTCAAGTAAAGCACACCAATTCTTTGTACCTCCGATACTTAAAGTTTTGTGTAAGTACTTTAAATGTGGTGAATAAATTTTGGTCATCCTGCAGTTCGGTTCATGTAGTAGAATATTATGAACAGGATTCTGAAATTATCGAGACAGAAGAAGATGGCAGTAATGATATTTTTCTATATTGATGGATTAATGCCTCTCTCACGTTACACCGCGGAAACAGCCGATTGCTGTCTGAGAAGTTAATGAGATTTCCGCGGTCCCTTTGGCCAAGACCTATATTTTATATGCGATATGTCAAAGCCAGTTGTTCTCATTTTTCATTTCTTTTTCTTTCTTGCATTCACTTTCTCCCTTCACCTCATTCTGTCTCTTCTTACTTCCTTTCTTTCCTCTCTTTTTTCCGCCCCCTCTCTTTTTGTTTAGTTCTCCCCAACGCATGCCCAATCACTGTAATATTTCTTCAGCTTTCTCCTTGCTGGAGTCCATGGACCGGACAGCTGACCCATGTGAAGATTTTTACCAGTTCGCATGCGGAAACTGGGGCAGGAGCCACCCCGTGAAGGACACGGATTACTCCAACACCTGGTTCAGCGAACGCTCACTGTTCTTACTGAGGCAGCTCAAAGGTCAGAGTTCAGATACTGTAGACTCTTAATCAACCGGGGAGTCTGTTTATAAAACTGGCTATATGGAGCCATATTTACACGAAGCTCCCCCACATGAAATGATGCTTCGAAACTTATGTAGTGCTATGCACAGGGAGATCAATTAAGGAAGCAAACAAATTTCTCAATTTAATTTTTCAAAAAGTTATTTTTACATGAATCCTTTTTAATTGATGAAGGATCGCAAGTATAATTGTGCACTTATAAATGTATGTGGCGTTTTATAAATCCAAATTCACGGTTAATTTCATTCTCCTTTGTTAATTACTCGAGGTTAAAAAATTATCCGGGGGAAATTAATTTTTCATCCATCCCTGATAGTAGGGAGTCTTCTGTAAGCAAACGTACCAGACACCAATAAGATTCCTTTGCAGAAAGTCTGTCTGCCGGTTAGTTAAGCAGCTAGTTCCGTAAATTANGTTTCAGAATAATTTGCGGGCAGACGCAGTGGTCTTACAATTATGCCTTCTATTCACTTGCGTTCTGAAAAGAGTCGCAGCATAAAAGAGAACTCTGAAAATGACTAACGATTTTAACTGAATTAATTTCCCTGGGGTCTCTGATCACTTAGGCCATGACACTAATATCTCTCTACACTTACATTGTTGTTTATTCGTTAAGTATTCCACAGCGTTTTCTTATTTATTGAACTCCAGTACCCTTTATTCTGAAATATGTTGTTAAGCTCCAACTCTGTTTGAAAGGTTTCTAAAATAGACGACCTTAAATTTTACATTACTTACACAACATATAATACCAAGGGTGTATATTGACTTACACCTTCAGAACATGAAAATATTTTAATCATAAAACTGTATGTTTTGCTACGAAGACATCGTTTCACTAACATCTTTATACCAATAAGATGAAGTTATTTCTACCGTAAGGTCTTGGGACCACGCTTACGAGTATAACATTTATTTACAAGACCTAAAATAGCCTTTGATATCTGTCGAAAAACAAAAATTTTTCCTGCTGGCATGAGTAAAAAACGACATAATTTAATACCGAGCATCAGAAATGTCCTTTTTCGCAAAAGCTAATATACCAACTCGGCCTAATGCCTATTTAAATATAACATAATGATATGACTTTCTGTAGCGAGAAAATATATGTTATATATTCAAGAATGTCCGGTTCCTTTCTTTGATTCTTTGAGCAATTAGGTCGACGCAACAGTGAGGTTGCCTCATTTACCGACTTTCATGAGTCCTACTCGGCTTTCTCGGTTACCGTATCGGTCGCAGATCACCAGTACCCATCATGCATCACCACAACATGTAACCTCGACCAGCAAAACAAAGAACTTAACAGTACTTCAGCACCCTCTCCAATGTAAATTGAAGATACAAGGTAAAGTGGTTGGAAAACAATAAGCTTAAGCGCTGAGGAGTGAAGATACGCAATGGCGTACAGCACTCAGGAGCAAACTATCCAACATGTAAAGCCGTTACTCTCTTTCGATGTCTGAATAAGGCAATATGGGGAAAACCAGCATTTAAGAACAAAACCTAAAGTAAGAATTCATAAATAGTTACACGACCGGTCCTGATCTGCGTAGCGGAAGCAAGATTAGACATTTGCGAGACAAAGGAAATAATTATTACTGGAGAAATGAATACCTTGAGGAAAACTGTAAGGAAGAGAAGTGAGGTTCGTGTACGGAACCAGATCATTAGGGAGCAGTGTGAAGTTCAGTCAATATGAGACTGGATGAATAAGTGTGGAGAAGAACGAGATAAACGTATTTAAGGAATGATGAGATAGAAGCTTTCGCACCGTCAGATATAACTCAGCACTCATTGTGGAGAAACTGGCCATAATGAGTGAATGCAGGAGAAACCGACAGTAATGAGCAGTAGAAACTGGAAACTGTTATTCACAGTAGAAACCTAGCGGGATAATGTGGAAAAATACTGTATGTAGGTTCAAATCTCAAAAGCAACTTATTGATCTGAAGGCTGTTCGTTGTTGATAATAATAGCTTCTCTCTTTTTTTACAGCGAATCTAACACTCCAGCCAGTATGCAACAGTGAACAGTGCATCGCATCAGGTAAAACTCCATTGTTCTCCTTGAATTGTTGTCTGTGTGTGTTGCTACAATAAATACTGGACATTCTTTACAACAATTGTGTTTCTGGACATTACCCATCTTCCTGTTTATATTTAAAACAGAACTTTTCGGAAACTGGATTTTGTCTTCGTCTTCAGGGAAAGCCTACTCATTTGGGTCCAATCGATAGAACAAGTCCCTATCTTCAGACACCTGTACCAACGCAAGATAGGGTGCACGAACCAAGCACAGCATAAACCATCTGCAAGAGTTAAGACAAACTTTAAAGACTTTAAGAAATTCGGTACGTATGAGGCTTAGCACCAGAGTACTGTCAGAACAGATGTCATCACTAGAGAGATAAATTCTCTGTATGGTAAAAGACATAAAAAACATAATCCTCCCACTTAATCTGCGCTGGGCGGAATTGTAGTTTTCACTTCTGCGATAATGGAAGTCCAGAGATGTCCAAGATGGGTTGACTGATCGCATGATTTGCCAGAGACATGTAGGCGGATTCCTTGTACGAGTATTTCGTATGTGGTGTTTGGTACAATCTGCAAGACCGTCGCCTCTGTCCAACATATTTTGTGGTCTTTTTCCTAAGTATATTGGGCTAATTTTGATTGACAGAAATTCATTGCAATTTTTATTTTGGCGCTATATAAAGAACCAAATATTTTGTCCAAAATATGATAGTGCGGTTGAACTTCGTATGCGAACAAACAGTGCTGTTTCTTCTGTTGCACCCCAGACGCTGGAAAACACCTGGCGTGAAATCGAGTATGGTTTGAGCATTCTGCGAACTACAAATAACGCTCAAATTGATAAGTATTGAACCTGATGTGATGTTATTTCAAGTAAAGCACACCAATTCTTTGTACCTCCGATACTTAAAATTTTGTGTAAGTACTTTAAATGTGGTGAATAAATTTTGGCCATCCTGCAATGCGGTTCATGCAGCAGAATATTACGAACAGGATTCTGAAATTATAGAGACAGAAGAAGATGGTAGTAATGATATTTTTCTATATTGATGGATTAATGCCTCTCTCACGTTACACCGCGGAAACAGCCGATTGCTGTCTGAGAAGTTAATGAGATTTCCGCGGTCCCTTTGGCCAAGACCTATATTTTATATGCGATATGTCAAAGCCAGTTGTTCTCATTTTTCATTTCTTTTTCTTTCTTGCATTCACTTTCTCCCTTCACCTCATTCTGTCTCTTCTTACTTCCTTTCTTTCCTCTCTTTTTTCCGCCCCCTCTCTTTTTGTTTAGTTCTCCCCAACGCATGCCCAATCACTGTAATATTTCTTCAGCTTTCTCCTTGCTGGAGTCCATGGACCGGACAGCTGACCCATGTGAAGATTTTTACCAGTTCGCATGCGGAAACTGGGGCAGGAGCCACCCCGTGAAGGACACGGATTACTCCAACACCTGGTTCAGCGAACGCTCACTGTTCTTACTGAGGCAGCTCAAAGGTCAGAGTTCAGATACTGTAGACTCTTAATCAACCGGGGAGTCTGTTTATAAAACTGGCTATATGGAGCCATATTTACACGAAGCTCCCCCACATGAAATGATGCTTCGAAACTTATGTAGTGCTATGCACAGGGAGATCAATTAAGGAAGCAAACAAATTTCTCAATTTAATTTTTCAAAAAGTTATTTTTACATGAATCCTTTTTAATTGATGAAGGATCGCAAGTATAATTGTGCACTTATAAATGTATGTGGCGTTTTATAAATCCAAATTCACGGTTAATTTCATTCTCCTTTGTTAATTACTCGAGGTTAAAAAATTATCCGGGGGAAATTAATTTTTCATCCATCCCTGATAGTAGGGAGTCTTCTGTAAGCAAACGTACCAGACACCAATAAGATTCCTTTGCAGAAAGTCTGTCTGCCGGTTAGTTAAGCAACTAGTTCCGTAAATTATGGTGAAATGTATGTAATATTCTACAAAAATATAAAGGAAACATATTAAGCACAAGGTTTTACATTTGCCCAAGTTTCAACGTAGTTACCTTGTTAAAGGCGACGGGAGCGTCGGCAGACTGACATGGGATAGTTCAGTCGATTAAACCAATTGAGACCAGTTCTTTACTGATTACAGAATAAATAATGATAGTAATCCGAGCAGATTGGTGCAGAGTGAAGTCCTGTTTCGAATCCCGTCCGGGAATCAGGCTATCACGACTGATGTTTCTGTGGTTTCACTTAGTCCCTCTGGGCAAATTCTGGACTGTACCTCGATTAGGCTATAGCCAATCCCTTTCAGATACTTTCCAATAAATCAGTAATCCTATCATGCAAAGCTGTATAGACTCAGTACTAAAAGTGTCGTTAAATAGCCTACGATAAAATAATACTTATAAATAAATTAACCAACTCTACGTTTCAGGGTGTATCGTGAATATTTGATAGTTTCTCCGCCGGTAAAAATTCATTATCATTTCATAGAACGCCTCAATTTGACTTAATTCTGAGCCAGTTCACTCCAAGGCATACTCAGACAACAGGTTTCTCCAGCTATGTACCCGTAGACTGAGGGTGTTTGAGAACAGGGTGCTGAGGACAATATTGGAACCGAAGAGGGATGAAATGACGGGAGGTTGAAGAAAACTGCATAAAGACAAGCTTCATAACTTCTACTCCTCGCCAAATAGAATGATAAAGTCAAGGAAGATGAGATGAGCAGGGCGTGTAGCAGGAATGGGGGAGAGGAGGAATGCATATGGGATATTGGTGGGAAAGCCAGAAGGAAAGCGATCACTAGTCACACCAAAACTAGGCGGGTGAACAATATTAAAATATATCTTAGAGGGATAGGATGGGATGGTTTGGACTGGATCGATCTGGTTCAGGATAGGGACCAGTGGAGGGCTCTTGTGAACACGGTAATGAACCTTCGGATTCAATAAGATGCTGGAAAGCTCTTGAGTAGCTGCACAATTAGTGGCTTCTCAAGAAGGGCTCAGCTCCATGTACTTAGTTTAAGTATGCGTAGATCATCCAAGATGGCTCCTTTCAGATTACAGAAAAAGATAATTTAGGAACTTCTTAGGTTTTCCACGTTTGTTATTTGTTGTACTTATTTCTCATCCTTGATTAGCAAACACTAAGCTCCTCATTGCCGGTCACGGTAGCCGAGCGGTCTAAGGCATGCACTGTCTTCGCTCGCTCGGAAGCCGGGATAGTGGGTTCGAATCCCACTCAGGGCATGGATGTTTGTGTGCGTTTTTCTGTGTTTGTGTACAGGTAGAGGCCTTGCGACGAGCTGATCGCCCGCCCAAGGAGCCCTACCGTATGTCTAAGATCTAGTAAACCGAAGTGAAACGGAGAGTTTCATGGAAGTAGGCCTAGGCCCACATGAGGGCTGTAGCGCCAATGAAAAAAAAAAAAAGCTCCTCATTGCGAATTTTAATTAAACATTTTGAAATATATTCCAGTTCTGAACAACACGTTGTTTTACATTTCAGATCTGCTCACAAAAAACAGCACAAATTCAGAACCAAAGGCTCTCCGACAGGCCAAGTCGTTGTTCGCAGCCTGCAATGATGTTGGTACGTAACTTCCCACCCAGTACTAGTTCATGGAGGTATTGCGATTGTTTTCCTAACCCATCTGACTTGCAGTACATTTTGCCCCGGAAATATTTCCCTCCGAAGACTTTAAATTTGCTGGCTCCAGGTTTCGAATTCAATCACCCGTTAGGGGCTGGAATTTTTCTCTTCCTCACCAACTGACCGCCTATTATCCCATCGCGGGGTAAAGCGTGAAGCTGACCAATTACCTGGAACTACATTGCCGAGGTTAAGAAAGAATGGAGGTTAGACAGGAATAGTCGTTGAGTCTCTGAAAGGAGGCAGTCACGACTTTTGTTTGAAGATACCATTCAAGCATACGTCTGGGAAGGATTTATGACCCCACTGCACTTTAAATGCTTCCAAAATTTTTCGATAATTATGAAGTAGTAGATAAATAAATTAGTAAATTATTTACGTGGATAATTTCCGCGGTTTAGGTTCTTACAACCTGAGAGTTGTCGGACATATCCTTCAAATTTTAACGTGCTATCATGCTTGTCTTCTTAAGATGAAAAACGACGATTTATCTAAAAATTTTAAGATATGTACTGTCATTCACATCCTTTGTATATACAGTTATTAATTACATACAATTTTTATGTTGAGTTGTGCACCATTGTAATACATCATATTGTTAATTATCATAGTACAGTAAATTACAGCATAAATTCGTGAAATCAGTTTAAATTCATTATTGTCCCGACATGTTTCGACATTTATAATGTCATCAAAAGAAACTAGTCGAAGGTTATTTTCTATGACTGTTCGAAGTATTATGTTGGGACAACGATGAATTGAAGCTCAGTTCAAGAATTTGTGTCGTAATTGCCTGTACTCTCATGATAAAGAAGAGTAGTACATCATTTTATCACTATTAGAAGTTTCTTCTTTGAAAGTCATCATCAGACTGAAGTACATTCATTCAGAAGACACCGCTGTATTGTTTGCGTGATAAATATCAGACTATAGATCACAGAGACCATGCTATCTGAGCAGGGTCAATCATGATAGGAAAATTAGGAGCAGAAAGCAAAAGGCAAATATGGGAAAATATTATTTTCTAAGTAGGATCATCCAGCACTGGAACCAACTACCTTCAGATGTTCTAAGGACTGTCTCCTGTAAACCAAGTAATTTTAGGAAAAGGGTTGGGAAAGTGATATATAAGACGAAGTGAAGGTGTGGGGGAGACCATCCAAAAAGGCAGTGAAGTGAAGTGAAGTGAGGTGAAGTGGAGGTGAAGTGAGGTGAAGGGAAGTAAACTGTGGTGAGGATGTGAAGGGTACGTACGTGTAGTGCAGTGGAATGAAGGGAAGGCCATGGTGAAATGTGAGTGCATCACTTCATGACAGTTCGTATTTCATTACTGTTATTGTTTAGCATAAATATTAATTTATATATAATTATACGAGTATTTGCATTGCATGCATTGTGTGTAGTGTATCGCTTGTTGTTTGTGTAGTGTTGTGTGCTGTGTTTTGGTTGAGTGTGTCGTGTTATTTTGTGTGATGTGTGCTATTTGTGTGTTGTCTTATAGCAATATCACTGCCACCAGGTAAAACCCATTTGCAGTTAATATAAAAAATATCTACGGGTAATAATACTATAAACTGTATAATAACACAAGCCACTATTTAGTGTCCGGTTCAGATTTTAAAAGCAGTTACAGGTTCATTTATAACGTAATAAAGGGTAGAAATAAAGCTGGAGAAAATTATACAGACGAGCGCTTCATATTTTGTGATCTTCGTCTGACATTCGTGTGACTAATCCAAGGAGGATGAGATGTAATGGACGTACAGCGTACATGGGGAGATGAAGAATGGTTGCAAAATATTTGGCTATAAATTTGAGATCTTGTGAGACATAAGTACGAGTATGAATGGGAGGAGAATATTAAATTGTTGTTACAGAATTTGTGTGAGGGTGTAGCTGGATTCGAGTAACTCAGATCAGTGACCAATTGCAAGGTCTCTGAAAAAAGAGAACTAAAAATTTTTGCACGGCATATGAGACCATGTAATCTGAAGGTATGCCTTGCACAATGGTGATTGCTCAGTAGTTATTAGTTATATTTATTTTCGAGCACCATACCAGCTTGATCCCTTGGCTCAAGCTGTTGTTCTGCTGTTGCAGGGACACTGGAAATATTGGGCCTGGAGCCCATCATGCAGGTTTTGGAGAATGTGAGTCTGCCCAAGCAACTACCGAACAGCAGGACAGCCTACGGCTGGAACATCGCTACAACCCTTGCCCTCATTCAGCGGATCATGAGTCTAGACCTGCTGGTACAACTTGGCCCCGATGTGGAATCTACAGATGAGAAACTGCTATTGAATGTGAGCACAGTGTAGAGACCACGATAAGAATAGACACGCCCCAGTGCAACAGCTCACTGCGTTACTTATGATTTGAACATGTGTATATAAAAATTTTATTCGTTCAACTTTACACCGACAGATGGTGACAGATCTTAGATTCACAATGACAAAAAATATTTAATTTCTCCAGTATCTGGAATATTACTCACTGTGTCGTCATCTGTCGCTTATCTGGAAACGGACGAACCACTGTCGCAGGGAATAAATTTCAAAATCTTCGCCGCCAAACTCGATTACAATTCATTCAGTTCCTTATTCTGTTGTAAAATCACTTGTCTAGTAATAAACGTCTGTTTTGTAGATTTTTATGTTCTGGGATATAACACTGTGCAGGCCGGTGAATATCAACCGATGTTTCGGATGAACTTACCGCGTCTTTTATCTAGGTCAGAAAGTAAGCAAAGCAAGAAATCAGCACGAAGCAGATAGCAAACAGAAGCCCGCTACTGGACCCCATCCCTAACTAGAAGAATCCAGTCCACAGTCTTTGACCTATATATTTAAATATCACTTTTAATATTATCTTTCCAACTATGCTTATGTCTTTCAAGCGGTATCTTCTCTTAGGGTTTTCCAACCAAAATTTTTTACTCATTTATCTTTTACCTTTGCGTTCTACATGGCTGTTCCTTCGCTTCATTTTTGATTTGATTGCATTAATAATATTTTATGAAGTGTATATATTATGAGCCGGTCACGGTAGCCGAGCGGGCTGAGGCATGCACTGTCTTTGCTCGCTCGGAAGCCGGGATCATGGGTTCGAATCCCACTCAGGGCATGGATGTTTGTGTGCGTTTTTCTGTGTTTGTGTACAGGTAGAGGCCTTGCGACGAGCTGATCATCCGCCCAAGGAGACCTACCGTATGTCTAAGATCTAGTAAACCAAGTGAAACGGAGAGTTTCATGGAGGTAGGCCTAGGCCCAAATGAGGGCTGTAGCGCCAATGAAAAAAAAATATGAAGCTCCTAAGTACGCAGTTTTCTCCAGGTAACCTGTATAAGTGTACAAATTCGTAATGTAGGAATTCGAAATTTGTGAAAGTTTCAGTTTAGAGTTGCAATAACTTACTGCCTGCTTGATTCTTGTTTCTTGCTTGGCTTACGCTTTGACACAGAAGATGAATGCGACAGTTCTTCCAAAACGTCGTTTAACTTTCAACGGACTACACGGCGTTATATCTCAGAAGATAAGACTTTTATCCTTATGACATTTTTACCTAGGTTCACGAAAACTCATCAGTTGGTTTGAAAGCTATTAGGAAGCAACACACGGAAATCATGATATGCATATCGTACCTACAGAATATTAGGAATACGAAGTCAGGTGGTGTGGTGGACAAAGTGGCATTGAGGCTGTTTTTTTTTTGAGCGCTTCAGTTTCTCCTGCGAAATCTATTTCCACCAACTTCTCCATACTCTAGCATTCGCACTACCATCTAAGCTATATAGAGTTCATACTGACAGCGTCGTTAACGAACCAACTGCAGAATGTCAAATGATACAATTCCTAATGTTTAAATGAAAAAAAAAAAAACTACGCTGTCCCAACAGTGGAAGTTAAGGCGCTTTGGATGAGAGTGGAAGGCAATAATGGGAAGTATACTGTCTGGTCCATTTCCATGTAACAACCCAATACACGCCTGGAGATACTGAGGAAGACATGGAGAAACATGTCTATGGGGATACTCCGTACCGGGTACCTCCATAATACAAATGCATGCGTTACTGCTATAGTAACCTGATCGATCTAATAATAATATTACCCAAGCACTGCATTTCTGTAAAAAAATATAGCTATCCCTGTAAAAGGCCACGGAGGCCCATAGGGTTGTGACACATCGTGGATCCCACATTTTCTGGAAAATCAGTTCACAGATGGCTGTGAAGTTGTCAGCCTTACGCGCCGGCCGCTTTGTACGCCCAGGAAGATTCCTGGTACTCATTTCTCTTAGAGACTGAGTCGACCACAGGATCATGGTGCGGCTGGAAGGATTAGGTCGACAGAAAAAAAAAGATGACCTGATCGGAAATAGAACCCGCGACCTTCCTGTTTGTAGCATAGTGCCTCAATAATTTGTTACAGTTGAGCCCGCCTAAGGATCCACCGTCGCTAACCCGAATCCTGGTGACGGATCCTGAGAACTTGCCCAGAGCGACACGACTCAGCAGCAAGAACTTCATTAGAGCCAAGATGGTGTACATGATAGGAATAATGGAGGAGATGGATTCCTGGGGAAAAGGAGAGAACGATGAATCCAAGCTCAACAGGACTACAATCGCGTCTGCGGTTTTGAAGATTCTGCTATTCGAGGCAGACGTCAGACAGGTAGGAGCAAGAACCATACAAATTGGTAGTGTCTATTGTGCAGATTGTTAGATGCTCAACGAGTTTGTCCGTCCATTAAGTTTTATTTGCATTTCTGCTGGTCATGTAAAAGTTACTTTTACTATACAATTTCTAAGTTACCATGTTGATCGTTGAGTTAATTAGTCAATCAAACACTGAATTAATTGGTCAATTGTACTGACGTTCCTGAGACCTTTCCACTGTCAACTCAAGCCCACATTTGGCCAGCAGTAGTCCTATCAGAACACTCACAGAGATCAATACTGTCACGTTTGTGAGGTTTGCGTGACGAATATAAGGGGTTCTGAATTGGATGACTGGATTTATTGGCACCTGTATTACAATTACAATCAATTATAACAGCTCATGGTCTAAGGTATGTACTGTCTTCGTTCGCTTGGAAGCCGGGATCATGGGTTCGAATCCCATATAAAGCATGGATGTTTGGTATGTGTATGTGTTTATTCTGTGTTTGTGTTGTCCTGTGTTTAGATAGAGGCTTTGCAACGAGTTGATCAGTCGTCCAAGGAGTCCTACCGTCTGTAAAATGATCATAATACTGAAAAATTAGAGGCCAGGACCCAAGGGGGCTACAGAGCCAGTGAAAAGAAAATAACAGCTCTTAATCAGTGACTGAGACTCGCTCCATTTCTTACGGGACTACGAGCGACTACGAGTGTTTTCTTTTCTACTGTGACTGATTTGGTTCTGATTCGCTAATCAGTCACTTCTTCAGCTTCCGTTGTCCGCTGGTTAACACTCCAAAGCTGAACACTCAGCTATTGAGCTGCCTTCTGAATTCTCTTATGACTGAATCATGGACCTCCTTTACGAATGCCGAATGATTTAACCCTCCTGGACTGGACTAGCTTCTAGGCGACCCGAATATAGATCACCGCCTCGAACAGTTCGTATTATTCTGTTATTCCCTTGCCATGAAAAGTGCTTACCGAACCGTTGCCCAGCAATGGTTTATTCCGTGTCTATTCGTTGCAGTGGGAAAGTGTGTTTGGAGAATCTTTGGCTAGCAATGGACTTCCATTCTGGCTTTACTATTCCAGCTTTCAGGCGTCATGTCACAATATCTTCTGGGGTACGACGCCATGTAGCTTGATACTTATTTACCAAACTACAAGGCGTCACATCCCAGACGATAATGATTTTCATACCTATTATCATGGAAACCTCAGTTCTCACATCATATTTAATGTTTTCAACGGCGAAGTTTCTGCTGCTTATGAAAATATCTATTGACCTACTTGTAGATTTACATATGTATTTATTTATGTGCTTTATATTCAATCCTGAAATCTGAAAGCATATCATTTTCCGAATTACAGGGGATCACTGTCGATGGTACAAACTCCAGCAGCAAAAGCAGCACAGTTCAGATTACTATCCTAGAATTGCAGCGGCTCATGGACTTGAGCATGCAAGGTGCAAAGAACAGCCATGAGGTACGTTCCTGCGACCTGAGTCGGTACCCACGTGACTCTTAGTCTCTTACTTCACACGTCTACTTGCTTCCGTCTATACTGCAACACAAACTTTCATTTTAAAATATCACTCACAATCACACTTAAAATTCATAATATGTCATTAAAATCGTATTTCTTTTATTTTTGCAACATGTTTTGGCCCTGCAAGGCCATCATCAGGCAACTGTTGATTGAAATCGCCGCACTGCATGAGTTCAACGCTCAATTAAAGTAAACTACGCATAGACGAACACAGCGTGGACGCCGCAGCATGAAAATAGCGTGAGTGAAGTTGGGCATACATTCTCGGATAACGACTACGTTCAATAACAGCATGTAAATACATATTGACCTGCCGGTCACAGTAGTCGCGCGGTCTAAGGCATGAACTGTCTTCGCTTTCTCGGACGCTGAGATCGTGGGTTCGAATCCTACTCAAGGCATGGATGCCTGTGCATGCGTTTATTCTGTGTTTGTGTTGTCCTGTGTTTAGGTAGAGGCCTTGCGACGAGCTGATCACTCGCCCAAGGAGTCCCACCGTCTATGAAAAATGATTACGAAACTGAATAAGAAGCCAGGGCCCTGGCTGTGCTGAAGAGCCATTGAAAAATATGTATAGTGACGCATGAGCTGATGCAGTTCGGCGATTTCAATCAACAGTCGCCTGAGCGTGGCCTTGTAGGGCCGAAACAGGTCGTAACAGCTAAGTAACAAATGTGATTCTGATGACATATTATGGATTTTAAATGTCGTTGTAAATGGAATTTTAAAATACAATATTGTGTTGCATTACAGATAAAAGCAAATGGATGAGTGATGTATTAATGTAACACGATGCTGAAATATAAAATAGTTACTTACTTATGCAGTACTTAGTTGTAGAAACGGGGTGAAACTAATTCTGTTGGAACCTACAGCCTCAAATCGATTTGGTTCAATTCTTAGTGACCTCGAAATATGATCTACGTCAGTCTAGTCTAGAGGTCTATTCTACCCTAACAAAATAAAAAAATATCCCTATTAGATTTTCTGTGTCAGTCTCTCTGTGAGGCCGCATGTAACATGAGAACCCACGAATGGATTTTCATGAAATTTTTGTTGGGGAATTTTACTAAAATATGTCAATAAAATCATATTTTTGCTAAAGTCAAACAATGACGGATACTACAAGTATTCCAGAAGCCTTACGTGTTCGCATTCTGAACGCAATTCGCCAGATATACTCGTATTTATACTTTCCAAGGAAAATCAGAGAAAATGTAACACACTTCATAATCACATATTTTCCCATAAGTTTGACAATATTCTTTTGCGAAACTTAAACAAAAGTGATCGAAAGCGGCAGAATTGTTATGCTCTGTGCGTATTCCTAACTTGTTAGATAACGGAATTGCCTCAGAAACAGACCGATGAATGCATGTCTGGATGAGTTACTAGGTGCTTGCCCACAAATGCTTCGAGTTAAGGGTCTAATTTGCTGACTGAGTTGGCCGCACCATAGCCCAAGCGGTTAGACGCTGGCTTCCCACCGCGGCGGCCCGGGTTCGATCCCAGGTCTGGTCAAGTGGAATTTGTGGTGGATAAAGTGGCGCTGGAGCACGTTTTCTCCGAGTACTTAGGTTTCCCCTGCCAATCTTCATTCCACCAATTGCTCCACAATCACCCTCGCCTATCATCTGGGGCTGGTACAATAGGCCAGAAGTGGCTGCAGTAGAAGGGACTTAGTCCCACCCCACTAGCAATAAAAAAAACTTGCTGACTGACTGATGGAACATGTGTCTTATCACAGAGTGTCTGGCTGATGCAACTGTGTGCCTTTCCGCCTTAATGATATTGGACTGGAACTTGATATCTCACAATAAATTTAAAAACGCTTTAATTTCACGTTAACTATTTACCACATGAGAAATGTTGGTGTTAATCTGTTCGCATTTTTAAGGTCTTCGCGGACATTGTATATATAAACTCGAATTCTTTCTTATCCTATGATTCAGCACATTTTGTTTTATATGATCATTCTAGTTCATTTTACTTGCACGGAATTCACGCCTAATAGTCAGCAAGTAAGTTGCTTATAGTTAAACAATTTCATGCAAAACGCTGCAGATTGACTGGCTACAGTATTTCACGGTGCTCTTCGAAGGCGTACACGCACAGAAGTCATTCAACATGGCGGCCGACGTCGTCTCAGTGACAGATCTCGCCTACTTCTTGAACCTCGCTTCAGTTCTGGCTGACTCCAAGTTAGAAACCATACGTAAGTATCCGTCAGCGAAACTCTTCTCTAATCACCTCAGACCAAAATTCCCAGATAGCGGAAAGGAGTTGAATAACGAATCGAGTAACACGAGCATCATTTTGTGTTCACGTGCGATACAAAGGTACGCTGCTCTTTGTCTTTGTAAATGTGATGATTGCTAGATTACATAAATACGTGTACACTGATTCAGTTGCATGAGTGATACTGTGTTCAGTGACATGACAAGATAATGCTGGGTCCTTAGGGATTAGAAGATGGCAGATCCTGCGGCAGCAGAATCTATCACGGTCTCACGAGACATCTGTGAATCTCAAAATCGCTACAATAACAACAGACCTTTTTCATTTAAAATTGATGTTGGCCACATCAATACGTATGATAACTCTTGGGGCGATGTTACGGAGAGAAACTATCTGCAAACCCCTGGAAAGCTTCTATGTAAACAGACACACAGGCAAATGCCACAGTGTTCTGACAGTGGAAGTTAGAATCATGTTTCGCCAGTGAGAATATTTAGGATATTCATAAAGGAATTGGAATGGTATAAATCATGAAAACCAAAACCCTGGACTTAACGTTGTATTTTAGCGTCCTGTTGCACTGATTTTCATCCATGCTATGTATACAGTTGCCGTCTTGTAGTGCACTCAATTTCACCTGTTACTTCACGACATGTTTCGGCAACATAGTGCCATCATCAGGTGCCCTAATTACGCTAATCTATTTCATTGCTTGCCTTTA